AGCAGCACTGTTATCTTATGGGTGAAAAAAACTGTAGTTTATGTTTGATACAAAGTAGATACCTAAATTTTTTCTAGTAGGATCTACACAAATTAAAGAGTAAGTATATAGGTGGGTTAGAAAGGTATTTTTGGATCAACTTGTGGGTTTTTTTTAACCTCCTAAGACCTGAACTCTTCCACAGCATGCATTTTTAATTTCTCTTTGATATTCGAGCATATTGGGGCCCGATGAATGTAAAAAGAAAGAATTACCAGATTTTTTTTTTTACCTTATTTTTGTTTTTATGAAAAATAAGAGCCACATATGAGGATATTCGTTTAAAATTTTGATAGAACTGTAGCAGCATAATGTCCTCGTAAGTGGATATCAGGCCCTTGTAGAGCAAAATTGAGTATTTTGGTCTAAATAACCCAAAATGTGATGTCCACATATGTGGACGCCAGGTCCTAGGAGGTTAAAGTAAAAAAAACAACAACAACAAACAAACACATAAAACCTCCAGCAAAATCTGCTTGTCTAAGTGTGTACCTTGCTTCAGTTGTGCCTGGTCATGTTGATACCTCTCCATCGCAGTGTGCGTCTGTGCAGGACGAAGAGGTGGGTAGAGGATTTCATTGAGCCTTGGGTCTCTCTGCTTATTGTTGATGAACTCTGTCATCTGATCGACTGACAGCATCCCATCATTGGCTCCTCTGCAGAGCAGAGAAGAGTTGGGTTGAAAGTGAGAGCATTAGAGGATAAACCTTCTCAGAGATTTGCATGCTGTTTGTGTATTTTTGTGGAACCACTGCTGGAGCGCTGCTTAACCTCATACTCTTGAAAAACAGTTTTTAAAATGGGAAGAGTGCTATTGTGTTGGTTTTATCAATTGATTAAATCAATTAAGTTAAATCAATTTGCAAGGGTTTAGAACGCTTGTAGAAACTGGAATAAGTCAACATGTTTTCATGTGTGATGAGAAACCACTAGAACAAATGTACAAGTGGTATGCTGCATAAATTTGCCAGTTTTCACATTGTACAGATTTATCTACTGCTTTCCAATGCTAGAAACCCCCCCAGAGAATTACTACTACAAGTACAAGTGTAGTACAAGTACTACAAAAATTATAGCTAAACATTTAAATAATTTTATTATTATCATCCTTTATTGATTCCAATTTCTTCGATGCAGAAATGCCCTGTGATAATATTTGAGAACAACTAGATGATACGCTTCATTTTTTTTAAAATATCAAGTTGTCATTCTAAGTGTGAAGATACGATGTGAAATTTCAGATTGGGCCTATCTCACAATGGTTGAGGTCTCAGTCTCACAGACCTAGAGACCTGTTGGCACTTATCTAGCAACCACCAGTCATGCGGGAAAAGTGTGTATTCTGTGACTAGTAAGCGAGTGGTTGCTGGAGGTTCCTGACAGTCTCTTGCATAACAAACAGGTAGTAAAGAGGTATACGATGAAGCACTGAAAAGCTCCTTGTGATTGCTGTCGTCATTACTAGGCTACAAGTAGTTTGCATAGATGTTTGCAGTTTCACTGCAGCTCAGAGAGAAAAAGGTAGAATGTCTATTTTGCAGAATAGACATTTTTTTTCCTAGTGATCAGTGGTTGCCAGGGGGTTGTTGACTGGTCTTAATGAGGTCTTAATCATCATATATTTCCAACTGCATATCAACTTGAAATAAAAAGAAATTGTGACGTATTGTCTTGTTGTTCAAGAAATTAATACAAATAGATTT